TTACTCGATAGACAAGGAGAAACAGGCAGGCTGGCAAGAAGGCACAGGGCATTCAAAGCCCTGCCAGAAGCTCATTAAGGCTCACAAGCAGGTGCTTTTGCAGGTGAGGCAGGAGGCGACCCTGGGGAGGTTAAGCAAGAGTCCCAGCACGTCTCAGACTTCAGGGTAAAAGCGTAGATTTTAACGTGTATGTGTAGGAGAGTCATTCCAGGAATGATAAGCTCTATATTTCAGAATAACCTCTTTACTGATGAGGTGGAGAATGACTTACCATGTAGATGAGAAGGGGTTGGAGGGAAGGACAAGAAATCTGGGACCACAATTAGGAGGTGACAGCAAAGGTCCTGGCCATGAATCAGCAAAGCCTGAATCAAGGCCATGGCAGTGGAAGTGCAGAGGAAGAAATGAGCAAAACTGACATTTGAAAATAATGTACAGATCTTGGTGACTGATTGTTGGGCGGGCAAGGGAGAAGAATCTGGATAAGTTCCAGGTTTCTGGCTTGAATGTGTGATTACATGCCCAGGCCTTCACTTCACTGTAGAGCACCAGCTACACCATCTCTCCTATCAAAAAGGCATTTCATAAACACTGGAACTAGGAACACTAAGTCAGCAGCCCTGCTGTTCAAACCCTTCACAAATAGGAAAACTGCTTGAGCAATGCAGTATACTGTATATTCATTTAGAAACTAGGTGTAGAATTTCAATTCAGCAGTTTAAATGAGTTCTTCATTTACAGACACATTTGTCTCTCCTCTGAAAACCCTAGAAAAGCTGGTGAATCTGACAAGATATCTATGAAATGTTAGTGAGAATTTTTTTTTGGGGGGGGGACAGAGTCACACTCTGTTGCCTGGCTAGAGTATAGTGGCATCATCATAGCTCACTGTGACCTCAAACTCCTAGACTCAAACGATCCTCTTGCCTCAGCCTCCCAAGAAGCTGGGACTACCGAAGAGTGCTACCATGCCTAGCTATTTTCAGTAGAGACGGGGTCTCCCTCTTGTTCAGGATGGTCTCAAACTCCTGAGCTCAATCAATCCACCCACCTCAGCCTCCCAGAGTGTTAAGGACTATAGGCATGAGGCACTATGCCCTGCCAATAATTTCCATTATCATTTACTTTTTGAAATATGATGGTCCCTGGTGGAAAGTGAATTCGTCATGTACACCCAAATTTGGAAGCACCTAGTAAATGCTGCAGCGTGCACTCTCCTACTGGTCCTTTCTACAACTATCACATACCAGGCACTGAACTAGACTCTAAAGATGTGGCCAAAAAAAGCTTCAGTTCCTGCCTTTAAGAGGCCCTCTGGTCTCATGGAAATAGGCTGAGGGGTAAATCAGGTATTCTGACAGATGAGAAGTAGGCCAGGCAGTCTGGAATCCTGGCACTCTGGGAAGCTGAAGCAGGAACACTGCTTGAGCTCAGGGGTTCTAGACCAGCCTGAGCAAGAGTGTGATCCTGTCTCTATAAAAAAACAGAAATATTAGCCGGGCGTGGTGGTGTATACCTGTAATCACAGTTACTCAGGAGGCTGAAGCAAGAGGATCCCCTGAGCCTAGGAGTTTGAGCTTGCAGTGAGCTATGATGATCCCAGTGTACTTTACCTGGGGCGACAGAGTGAGACTTTATATCAAAAAAAAAAAAATTAAAGAAAGTAAAATGTAACTTATAAAGAACTTGAGATCCAAAATAGGTGGCAGTTGTAAGGGTGCACCTAACCATTTAGAAATAAATCAGATTTCCAAACTGAGACAAACTGAGCCTTGGGTATTAAAGAATTTGCAGCACTCTAGCCTGGGCAACTCTAGTCTGGGCAACTCTGTCTCAAAAAAGAAAAAAATTTGCAGAACTTGTCGCAAAAACACACTTCTAATTTCTGAGAAAACACACAAAAAAGGAAAAGTTCTAGATGAACAGAGATGAACAGTTTTTTTGTCCTTATTTCTATATAACATACAAAAACCTTTTTATTTTCTATATACTAATAGCAAATAATTGGGGAGTGAAGTCAAATATGCTATTTATTGGTACATAAGTACCGATTAGTGCACACTGACTGGCTGTCCACTGTTGGTGGGAATGTATTTTGATACAGCCATTAAGGAACAGTATGGAGGTTCTTCAAATAATTAAAAATATAACCACCATATCATCCAACAATCTCTATACTGGGCATATATCCAAAGGAAATGAAATCATTATCTTGAAAAGATATCTGCACTCCCACATTCATTGCAGCCTTATTTATAATAGCCAAGACACAGAAAAACAACTTAAGTGTCCGTAAACAGTAAAATGGGTTTAAAAAATCATATATATATATATATATATATATATATGCCAAAAAGAATATATGACTGGGCTGGGCACGGTGGCTCATGCCTGTAATCCTAGCACTCTGGGAGGCCAAGGCGGGCAGATTGCTCGAGATCAGGAGTTCGAAACCAGCCTGAACAAGAGTGAGACCCCGTCTCTACTATAAATAGAAAGAAATTAATTGGCCAACTAATATATATAGAAAAAATTAGCCAGGCATGGTGGCGCATGCCTGTAGTCCCAGCTACTCGGGAGGCTGAGGCAGAAGGATTGCTTGAGCCCAGGAGTTTGAGGTTGCTGTGAGCTAGGCTGACGACACAGCACTCACTCTAGCCTGGGGGACAAAGCGAGACTCTGTCTCAAAAAAAAAAAAAAAAAAGGAATATATGATTGGCTAATAAGCACATGAAAAGACATGAAAATCTTTTCTAAATCTAATTTAAAATTAGGCATCACAGAAAGGAAATGCAAATTAAAACCATATTAATATAACATTTCATATACACTGGAATGTTTAAAATTAAAAAGATTGACAATATCAAATGTTGGCAAGGATGTGGATGGAGCAACTGAACTCTTGTCCACTGGTGCTGGGAATGTAACATGGGTGTCTACACTTATGAAAACTCACTAAGTTGCACAACTAAGCCCTGTGCATTTAAGTGTATGTCAATTTTACCTCAATGAAAAGTCTTTATGGGAGTTCAAAGTAATCATCCTAGAAAGAGATGTATATTTTCTAAAATTTATTTTGAACCAACAAGTTACTTAATTATCAACTCCTTGGAGAAACTCAAAGAAAATTCAGATGAAGGCAAAGAAACCTATAACATTCCTCCTGAAGTCAGGGGTTAGAAAAGTGACTCAGAGACAACAGCTAAGGGCTGGCATTCACTTGCTGATTCATCCTGGCTGTAAATATTGACTGAGTACTACTCTGAGTCAGATATTACTTTACACAGGGAGCGCAGCAGTGAACAGGAAAGACAAAGTCCTTGTCCTTACTAAGCATACATTCTCTCAGACAGATGAGGAGGTCACACAAATAGCAAGGTAATTATAGATAGTGACAAGTGCAATGGACGGAGTAGACAAGAATATGTGATTGGGAGTCAACGAAGGCCTCTCTGAAGAAGTGATAGTTGAGTTGCGTCATGGGACCAGAGACAGGTGGGAAAACATTGCAGGCAGGCAGAAGAGACGGTGCAAAGGTCTGGAGGCAGAAAGAAACAAAAGGTGTAGGGGGAAATGAAAGACAATCACTCTGGTGCTTGATGAGCAGGGAGGGGAGAGTGGGATGGGGTTGGTCTGGAGAGTGGGCAGGGGCCAGAGCGTGCAGCCCCTAGGGGCAAGGGCAGGAAGGACTCTGGGTGATGGCCTAAGACAACCCAAAGCTACTGCAGGGTTTTCAGCAGGCAGGTGATGTCATCTGCTGCTGAGGAGGGTGGCTGGGAGTAGGGACAAGGCTGGGTGCAGGGAGACCAGTCAGGAAGCTACAGCAGTGGTGTTGGCAGGAGCTGGCAGTGACAGGGACCAGAGTGTCAGCTGCAGAGATGGAGAAAAGACAGATTTCAGACCGTTGTAGAAGCAGAACTGACAGAACTGCTGATGCATTCAACATGAAAAACGAGAAAAAGGAAGGATGGGCAGAGGGTGTTATCATTCAGTAAGATGGGGAATTCTGGGGTGAAACAAGTCTGGGGTGGAAATGAAGAGTTTCACTTTAAGAAGCCTACACACCCAGCATGTGGAAATGCCAAGGAGGCAGCTGGATATCTGAGCCTGGGGCTGGGGAGAAAGGTCTGGGTTGGAGATGTAAAGTTCAAGGTCATCATCACACAGTTGGCATTCTCAGCAGGGAGCATCTCGAACTGAAAAGAAGGGGGACCAGGACTGAGCCCTGGGACACCACACCATTCAGAACTCCTGTTAGCACCAAAGGAGGAGCAATGAATAGGGAAGAAAGCCAGGGCAGTGTTTCCAAGCTCACTACAATATCTGAGGGCCCGGAACAGCCTCAGGCATACAGAAGTCCCTCCTAACACATTTGCTGAATGCAAGGAGAAAGGAAGGAGGGAGCAAGTGTTGTGACCTTGCCAGATGTTGCTGAAAGATGCAATGAGAGGAGCCACAGGGGAGCCCGCTGGCTTTAGGGGCACAGGAAACTTCCATGGTGTTAACAAGAGCATGGTCAGGGGTGTGGGGGACTGAAGTCAGGGCACTCTCGCTTGGATGGAAATCAAGAAGACAGACCATGGAAGGTCCATTTAGCCACAAGCCTACAAGGACTCACCAGCTTCCTGCAACAGCCCCCTGTGACCAATCCACTTTCTTGCTGTCAAACCCACCGAGGTGGTTCCGTGAGCACAAGACCCCCAGAGCTGCAACGGGGAAGCGAGCAGGGCTCTCGCTGCTGGGGCTGGGGGTTCTGGCCACTTCCCCAACTGCACCAAGCACACCCTTGGAGGGCCCTCAGCCACTTCCGAACCCTGGCCCGTGAATTCTCACACCTGTGATTCCCACGTACTTTCCCCTCTACCTAGTCCTATGACCTCTGCAGCCAGCCGCTGCTGTACCTGCATTTTCATCCTTCTCTACTGCGCCCTGGTGGTGCACAGCAGGCGTCACCAAACTTCCCATCCTTTCAAATAAACAAATATACTGCTAGGACTTACCAGGAACAGTTAGAACAGAGGGGGATTTTTCAGGCTGTTCATTAACACGGCTGCTGTTTTGAACCCAAAAAATGTTGACCGGCTCAGGTGGGCCCACAGCCTGACAGGTGAGGTTGAAGGCTGTGTTTCTGGTGACATTCATGCTCTCGGGCTGCTTGGTAAAGTGAGGAAGTCCTGCAGAGAAAGCATTAAAGGAAAGAATGTTTCAGATCCTAAGCAGAGGCAGAGCCCTAAGGGGAAGGGAAACTGAACTAGAACTTGGCAATGGGAGATTTGTTTATGTGCTGACTACCTTACATCTGAAATGGCCAGTTTTCGCCTCCTTAAAGCTGGGTAAGAAAAGCACAGAGCCTCATTCCCACCAGACAACCTTAAGGCTTTCTAGACACTTTCCCAAAGGAGCCTTGAATAGTGCTTCAGAACTGGTTTTACTAGAAGGGAGGCCACACACAGTTCTTAAATCAGGTGTTGCTCAAACTCCTGGAACTGGTTGGCAGCTTTTTAGTATTTCCTACTAAAAAAAAAGACATGGAGTAAAAACAAAGCTATGTAATAGGTCTGCCTGTGGTATGAGGCAATCTATGGTATGTGTGACTTTCAGACGAGTGATGGCAAATTTTACAATCTGTTTCCTTGTGTAGGGCTGAACATTTTTTAAAGCATATTCTCATGAAAACAGTATAGATACAGTTACACAGTTACAATCCTAAAATCTCCTATTGCAATTCCAAAATCAAGGCCATAAAGTAGTTTAGGAAAATCTCAGAGAAAGCCAGCCAGTACTTAATGAGGGCGTGTGCCAAAAATGTAACAAGTCAAGCTCATTGTGTTCTTCTGGGACTGGGGACTCACAGATCTGGTTCAAACAGGAATGATATGGGAGTTACGTGAAATGAAATTCTTTCTTCCTGTTTCAAGGTTTTCCAGAACTCCATTTGGACGTAAGGGGCTCCTGCGCTGGGCAATTTTCTGACAATTAAAATGTCCTCTAAATATTTTCCCCAGATTAGCAGCAAATTCGGGAAATCCTCTCTGGCTGATGCTGGCATAACCCTGAGACACGGGCTGTAAGGTCTAAAAGAGCCTTCTCTGAGGGGCCTCCCTCCCTGTCTCACCTACGCACATCTCCCTTCCCACTTCCCTCCCTCAGGCTCCTGTGTTAGTGGGTATCAAGTTCAGGTTCACAAAAGAATGGCTAGTAGCAGAGGAGCCTTTTAGTGGGAGATGTTTCTGGTTGAGTTTCAAGAGAAAATAGGAAAGAGAGATGATGGGATGTCTCTGCTAACAGGGATGCCTCAGATAGCAGGGATGCAGAGGCCCTGAGGGCAGCCCCCTGGGGAGTGGGGTGCAACCACTTAGGGTGATAATAAAGGTGCTCCTCCCTGCAGCCTTCCTGGATAGGCCTTGCCATTGCAGAACCAGGCATGCAAACCTCCAGACCCAGGCCACCAAGCTCAGGACCTGGGCTCTCACCTAGCCTGGTTCAACCTGTGCATCAGTGCACATTTCGCATTAGATCTCAAGTTCCTCAAGGGCAGAGACTGCCTTTTCCTAGCCTGATGTCTCACCCCTCACCATCACTGGCCCTCATGTGATGTCATGGAATTTCTCTGAACCATGCACCTTGATCCTAGCACCCAAAAGGAGTCTCCAGCTGAGCTGTTGACTCAGTCCAGGAAAACCACTCACCACACAATGTTTTACCATCTGCATATGCAAAACAGGAAAAGATGCTGAACAATAAGCCAATAGTCACTTGGCCAGGTGAGTGGTATCTGGCACCAGCACGGAGAACTGGATTTAAAAAAATGCATTCTGCTTCCTAAAGTCTTCAGCTTATTTTTATTATTAAAAAACCAGTGTGGCCAGGCGAGGTGGTTCACGCCTGTAATCCTAGCACTCAGGGAGGCCAAGGTGGGAGGATCACTCAAGGTCAGGAGTTCAAAACCAGCCTGAGCAAGAGCAAGATCCCATCTCTACTAAAAATAGAAAGAAATTAATTGGCCAACTAAAAATATATAGAAAAAATTAGTCGGGCACGGTGGTGCATGCCTGTAGTCCCAGCTACTTGGGAGGCTGAGGCCTCCTCTAGTAACTAGGATAGAGCTGAAACTTTAAGAAGTGAATTCATTTTATTATTACCTGTAGTCTACAAAGAGGACTGCCTTATAAAATTTCAGTGTTGATAGATTTGCAAGGTTTGCATATAGAGTTCTAAATGGGCAGGCCAAACTCTAGAATATTATACACAAAACATTTAAATGCAGGCTCTAAATTAAGTAGCTCTCTGACAGTGGGACTCTCTGGCCTCCGGACTTACCTTGTACCTCGATGTAGATGGGGTCGGATACGATCTCTTCATTATTTATTTTCATCTTACATATATATGACCCATTGTCAGAACGCTGCACGCTGGTTATGCTTCAAAGAAAAACACATAAAGATATTTACAGTGACTACCCTTTGAGTCCCAATTATAGGAACAGAAAATTCTTCATCTTCTTTGTCATATGTTGTGATGGTTAATTTTATGTGTCAATGTGGCTAGGCTATGGTACCAAGACGTTTGGGCAAACACTAATCTAGATGTTGCTGTAAAGATATTTTGCAGATGTTACTAACATTTAAATTAGCAACTTTTGAGTCAAACCAATTACTATTAACAATGTGGGTGGGGCTTATCCAACTGCTGAAGGCCACATAAGAAAAACTTGAGGTCCCTTGAGGAAGAGGGAATTCTCTCTCCAAACTGCAAACTGCCTTAGGACTCAACACTGCAACATCAATTCTTCTCTGGGTCTCTAGTCATCACCCCATTGGTTTCATATTTGCCAGCCCACACTAGCATGTGAGCTAATTCTTTAAAAGAAATCTTTCTATAGACAGATGATAGAGAGAGAGATAGATAATCTCATTGGTTCTGTTTCTTAGAACCCATGTCCTGTCACCTATCTTGATTTCTATGGTAGGTTCTACACCAGTGGGTCTCTGCATCGGGATACTGACCACTGCAGGCATTTGGAAATTTGTGGAGTTCTTTTTAATGGTCACAATGACTTGGAGTTCACCATAGCTTTTAAGGACCAGGGGCAACTGCTCCATATGCCCAATTACCTTCTGAGACTAGAAACTAATTCCATTTTACATACACACAAAGTGTTTTGTATAGCTTCAATATCCACCTAATTCTCCAGGACTGCAACCACGATGAAAATGGAGGGCTGGGATCCCTTTGTCCTGTTTGAAACTTTCTGGTGCCTCGGTCATCATTTCGGAAGGTGCATCACTATCAGCCCCACTGCATCTGCAGCGGCCATGTGCCATGTGCTTGGAGGGGCAGCTAGGTACGAGTCTGTGGGTACTGTATGATCTCTCCTGGAGTGGTCATACCCAGCATTTACATGTTGAGATTCACAATACTTTATTATGAATCGCCTTTCCTTTGTATTCCTCACATTACGGTTAGAGCACTGTCTGTTAGAAAATCTCTGCTATAGACGGCAGCCTTGGTGCTAAGAGGCTGACAATCCTGCTTTCCACCTTTCCAGCGTGTTTATAAACAGGACATTGCACAACATGCGTGAAGCTTGCACTTAGCCAGGGAGAGAGAATGAGGAATATTTTGAATGAGAGAGAGAATGAGGAATATTTTTAAAAACTCTCAGATGCTCTCCAACAGAGGATGCCTTTATTGGGCCAAAGGCTCTGCTCATTAGACACAGCAAAGAAGACCAGGGGAAGGAAGAAAAAGAAGAAAAACAGGAGGAGTCCACCTTCCTTCCTAGCAGCTTGCTTCCCTAGTACAACTTATTTATCCCTCAGGAAAATAAAATCCATTCCCCAACCAGTGAAGGGCTGAAGCTTAAGGCCTAAAAGAGACTAGGAAGCTGTCAAGGTTAGAGGTGGTTCAATCCTGGGCCAGAGGCCCCACGGACAGTGGTGGCAGCTGGCAGCAGTTAACACAGCCTGGTCGGCACCCAGAGCAGACACATGGCAGTGAGTGAGGTCCCCAGGCCTCCAGGAGACACAGTTCCCTTAGGTTGAATGCGCAGTTTTCAGAACAAACACTAAACATGTTAAATATAACTTCTCCCCAACAATACCATTTTGCAGATTCTTATTAGCTTGAGACAAATAGAGTACCTAAAATACGTGTCAAGAAAGGCATCGTGAACAGGTGTTTCTCTAAAAAAGAAAGACAAATGGTCAAGAAACATGAGAAAATGTTCAACGTCACTAATCATCAGGGAAATGCAAATTAATACCATAGTTAGATAGCTCCTTACTCCAGTAAGGCTTTCATTAAATGGCTTTCATTCAAAAGTCTAAAAACAATAGATGCTAGGCTGGGTGAGCTAGCTGGAGCCTGTAATCCTAGCACTCTGGGAGGCCGAGGCGGGCGGATTGCTCAAGGTCAGGAGTTCAAAACCAGCCTGAGCAAGGGCGAGACCCATCTCTACTATAAATAGAAAGAAATTAATTGGCCAACTAACATATATATATAGAAAAAAAAATTAGCCAGGCATGGTGGCGCATGCCTGTAGTCCCAGCTACTCGGGAGGCTGAGGCAGGAGGATTGCTGAAGCCCAGGAGTTTGAGGTTGCTGTGAGCTAGGCTGACGCCACGGCACTCACTCTAGCCTGGGCAACAAAGCGAGACTCTGTCTCAAAAAAAAAAAAAAACAACAACAACAACAATAGATGCTGGCGTGGACACAGAGAGAAAGGAACACTTCTACACTGTTGGTAGGACTGCAAATTAACACGGCCTCTATGGAAAACAGTATGGAGATTTCTCAAAGAACTAAAAGTGGACCTACCATTCGATTCAGAAATTCCACTACTGGTTATCTACCCAAATGAAAAGTCATTTCACCAAAAAGATGCCTGTACTTGAATGTTTATTGCAGCACAATTCACAATTCCAAAGATGTGGAATCAACTCAAGTGCCCATCATTTCATGAGTATATTAATAAAATGTGGTATATGTATACCATGGAATACTAGTCAGCCATTAAAACGATGAATTAATACCTTTTACAACAATCTGGATGGAACTGGAGACCATTCTCCTAAGTATAATATTGCAAGAATGGAAAAACAAACACCACATGTACTCCCTATTAAATTGGAACTAACTCATGAGCACACAAGCGCATGGAGGGAAGTAAAACTCAGTGGAAAGCAACTGGGGGGAGTTGGTGAGGGGAGGGGAATAAACTAACTTAATGGGTACTATACACACGATTTGGGTAATGGGTACACTTATAGCCAAGACATTACAAAAATGGTCCATGCAGCCTAAAACATTTGTACCCCTTTAATATTTTGAAAGAAAAAAAAGAACTGCATCAGTCAGAACTTGGGGGGATCAGAGCTGTTCAGGTTAATATCACCTCATTATTTCTGGGGCCCAGTTACTATCCTCTGTCATTGCATTTCCTGATGTGCAAATCTGAGTGGTGCCCCTTTGACTTGGAATACTCTGTCCTCGCCATTCCTGTGCAGGAGCAATAGAATTCTGGAATGCTCCTGATGAAAGCATGGTGGACACGGGTCAAGAAAAGGCCAGATTCTTCCATGCTTTGGGCAGTGGCTGGATGTCACAATGCCGACGGGCCATCAGGAGAAGCAATAGAATTCTGTAAGGAGGCCTCACAGGTCAAAGATCTCCAAATAAGGAACTAGCTGACCCTCCCCTGGTAACTCCTTGGATGTCATGGTGACAGGGAAGGCTGAAGAAAGGGGGAGAGAATCCTGGGTCTAGAATGATGTCCTGCCCATCATGGACAATGACTAGTAGCTGAATGGTGATCCTTTCAGCAGTTCCTGAAGATTCTGCACAGCTGACTAGTCTTCTAGTTTTCTTTGCAGCTCCAAGGAAAACCAAGGCTTCTGAAGAGGGGGTCTTTCCCACATATTTCACAAGTCCACTGTAGAAGAGGCATCATTTTTTTGAGGCAAAGCCCAGGGACTGGCCAGAGTAACCCATGAGATCAGACAGGGCAGGCTATCGGTGCCTTTGAAGACTGGCTCTGGCTCAAGGCCCAGAGTGGCAGTGGCCTTGCATCAGGACTCAGGGTACAGGGAACAAACAGAAAGTGAGGCCAGAGAGGGATGCAGCACATGGTCCTAGGAAGGTAGCCCGATGTAGCTGCACCCAGCCCAGGGACACAAAGCACAGCTGTGCAGAGCCCCAGAGACCTGAGAAACTATCAGGCACACCCTGAGCTCTAGAAATCAGACTGCACAAAATGTCTAAGAGAACCTTAAGGCAACCAGGAAGGAAGATTCAGCCCAGAAAAGGAAACACAGAAAAGGAACATGCAGAGCACAAAGGGAACACAATCAAACTTTGCCTTTAGTCATTCATGTCAGGGAGAGCTTAGGAATCACCCGGTGAGGACAGGTACCTGCATCAGCCAGCAAGTCCAGACCCATGCCACCTATATCACAACAAAGATTTTCCATAATCAGTCCACTTGTTACTTTCTAGACATCCAAGGAAAGGCTCGCACTGTGAAGGAGGGTGTGGGGTAGGGCTGGAGACAGGAGGAGTGGCTGTCCCTGGGACTCCTCCAGAAACAGGAGGCTCAGTCTCTGTGGAGGCTCAGCTGGAAAGGCTCTGAGCTCAGAATAGCAATCGGGGAGTCCCAAGAACTGAGGAATAGGAGTTCCAGAGAGAACACAGACAGGGGATGGTGGAGAGGGATGATCAACAAAATATCCCAGAAGTGAAGATACAGGTCTTCCCTAACCAGGCCCCTGAGGGAGCAGCACAATGGGAAGAAAAGACCAATGAATGGGCTTCACCAGGGAATGTTACAACTCTAAGACAAAGTGAAGAAAAGCAGGTCACTTGCTAGTGAATCGGACCGGCATCCTACTTCTCAAGAGCAACTGGGAACTCAAAGGAAATATATCAATGATTTCAAAATTACAACAGGAGTTATTTTCCTCTATTAATTCTGTATCTAGCCAAACTACCTCAAGGTGAGGGTGGAAAAAAATGGCATTTTCAGACATGCAAGTCCCAGGGAGTTAGTGGAAGACAGGCTCCATGCCAAAGTGAGGGAGCTAAAGCTAAGGGAAAAAAAGACCTAGGCTCCAGGAAATAGGAGCTGGACTGCAGGAGGAGGAGGGGACCCCACAACAGTGGTGACAATCAGTCCCGATAACTTCATCATCGTGAGAGGAGACGCATATGTTCCTGTGGAGTTTAGAGAAGAATGAGTGATTGATCCCTAGGAAGCTATTAAATTTAGGAAAATCAAAAAGCCACTCAAGAAGAGCTATGGCTTGAGTGTCCCCTCCAAAACCCAGGCTGAAACTTAATCTTCAGTGTGGCAGCATGGAGAAGTGGGGCCTTTAAGAGGTGATTAGATATAAGTGGATTAATCAATTCTTGGATTAATGGATGA